GGATCAAGCTACAACCATTGATCCCTCCAGCTACATCAGTCAAAAACTTTCCCATAGAGGTACAATAATATAAATTTTAGCTTGTAAGACCATGCAATGCACATTGCAGCTAATCAACTCTGTTGTAGCCAAACATAACATGAAAACAAAAGAATGTGATTGTGTTCCAACAAAGCTTTATTTGCACAAACAGCCACTGGACCAGATTTGGCCAACCTTAGCAAGTAAGGCCTTTCCCTTTTTTTTTTTTTTTTTAAATTTCTTCAGAAAACATTACACAGAAAATCCCTCATGCAATGTGTAAGAAAATGTAATTGTTATTCCAATTCTGTGGCTTTGAGATCAGATTTGGTCTGTAACCCACAGAATGTGCAAGTATAAGATGTATTTCAAAGTTGAAAAGGGGTTACATATGCACTGCTCTTCAAATACACATGAACAATTCTGATCCACTATAAAAACTACTCTGAGTCCCTTGGGCCACATTTTATTTAAACTTCACGTAAGGAGTAAGGTTTAAAACTTTTAGAAAACATCTATTCTCTTTTAGGCCACTACGCATCGAAGTGCTGATTTACTAAACAGCGCCAGCATGCTGGGAGAGAGAGTAAATGGGTAGTACGTTCCTGTTCCTCTCCTCCTTAGAGAATCGTATGCTCCTCTGAATGCAGGAACATGTGCTCTATTTTTCAAAAGCAAGAGATTGGAAGGCCATGAAAATACACTCTAGGTCTGTGACATTTTGTAGTCTTAGCTCTTAAAGGACCATTGTCCTTGTGCTGTTCTCAAAATCAGTGTAAGGATGAAAGACCGACTATAAACACCCACACTCTTAAATGATAAGCAACTCAATGGTGCAGCAGCAAGGCTTCTGTGTAGTTTCCATTCTGAAATGAATCCTGAGAACTGTTGCTCCTTGATCCTATCATCTACCCCTTAGATCAGTGTCCCTACATGGCTGCACCTAAGAATCACATGTATGTGTTCTTAGCATGTATGATCTGGGCCCCATTCCGGAACTATGAATGAGATGAAATGCTGGCAGAACTTTCATTTGCCTCTTCTCAAATGAGACTAGAGAAAGTGATTAAATCCATTTCATGTGCTACTTGGAAGTAAATATTACAACTGCCTTTAACGGAGACCCAGAGCCAAAATGACTTACATTTTGGCTTACATATGAATATGAAAGAACCCATATTCGTTCCCAATGGAGCATCAACTTCTCTTATGCCACTAGCACGGAATTAACCCCCAGAGAAGGAGGATCCATAATGCTCATATCATAATTTAGGAACTGAAATTGCCAACTTTTCCTTTCAAGGGGTATTTATTAAGAAATAGAATTGCCGGGCGGTGGTGGCGCACGCCTTTAATCCCAGCACTCGGGAGGCAGAGCCAGGCGGATCTCTGTGAGTTCGAGGCCAGCCTGGGCTA